ACATGTCCCATACGATAAATAAGCTACAACAAGAGATACCATTGAATGTGAAGTCGCCACAAGGACTTACACTGCTAAAACGCATGGTGCAGAAAATGTATTACACTGCTAGAACGCATGGTGCAGAAAATGTATGAATTTCGGGAAATTTTATTTTGGGAATCAGTGTAAAAATTTTTTACAGATATTAAAATCTGTAAATTAGAATATCTGATTCTATATTCTTTCTACATTAAAGGAGCGTTCATTTCGTTCGTTTATCATAAAAAATGTAGAAATCACACCATTTTTAGAAACATGCTTACAATTTCATTGCTCTAGAAGGGCGGGCATTTAAATAAACTCCGTCCAGCTGCCCCTACCGGAAATTAAATGGCCCGGCCGATAAAGGTTAATATGCCATCCTGGACACAAAACTGATATTTCTAGCTTGGCTACAAGGCGTTCGTATGGTAAACTCAGTGATACGTTAGAGATATGAAATATAAAAAGAAGTGAAGTAGATGAATACTTCAGAAAAATATTTATTTTTTTAATTGCTCTTCCAGCCCATTCAGGGCCCAGGCCTCTTATTCAGTTCTGTAATCATTTTTCATAGACAGTAGGACTCCTTGGATGAGTGATCAGCCCATCACAAGGCCGCTACCTAAACACAGGACAACACAAACACAATAAATGCACACACATACCAAACATCCATGCCTTGAGTGGGATTCAAACCCACAGTCAAGGCGAGCGAAGACAGTTCGTGCCGTAGACCGCATGGCTACTGTGACCAGCAGAAAAATACTTTATACGAACATATAAAATTAGTAAACAAGGCGTACAAGTGAAAGGAACACTTGTAGACACAATAATGACATACTAGAAATTCAGTACCCCTGATTACAGCAATGACATCCAGCAGTACACTAGTTTGCATTATAACTAACACTAAAAAGGATACCATTGTGACAGTTCAATCCTCTTATGTTTCCTTCATGAACATTAGTTGTTCTCTTTATTCATTTCTTAAGGGATGACTGATTTTATCAGTGAGTTACAACAATGACATGTTCTTCGTATGTGGGCAGAGAACATCTGCCTTTTCTTACATTCAATTTGAGTGCCCAATAATGGGACATTGTCACCATGGGAGACAAGTCAGTAGTTCTTCTGAAGACATGGTTTGGTGTCTTGACATGGATAGCTATCACAATTTATCTCCAGTACTATCATGTCTTGTTAACAGATGATGGAAGGTGTACTAATGAAATTAAATCCAGGATTGCCATGGCAAAAGCTGCATTTAGCAAGAAGAAGAATCTTTTTACCAGCAAATTGGACTTAAATTTGAGGAAGAAACTAGTGAAATGCTACATTTGGAGCATAGCTCTGTATGGGGCTGAAACATGGACACTTAGGGCAGTAGATCAGAAACATCTGGAAAGTTTCGAAATGTGGTGTTGGAGAAGGATGGAGAAGATCAGTTGGACCGATTATGTGAGAAATGAAGACATGTTAATTAGAGTCAGTAAGCAGAGGAATATCCTACACGAAATAAGAAAACGGAAGGCTAATTGGATTGGTCATGTTTTACGCAGAAACTGCCTTCTAAAAGAAGTTATTTAAGGAAAGATAGAGGGGCAGATAGAAGTGGGAAGAAGACGTAAGAAGATGCTGGATGACCTTGGGGACAGAAGAGGATACTGTCATTTGAAGGAGAAAGCTCTAGATCGCATTAAGTGGAGGAATTGTTTTGGAAGAGACTGTGGACCTGTCCTCTGACAGATTACTGATGATGATGACTATCATGTATGTATGTATGTGTAAGGGTGGGCCATAGTAATTTGGCCCTTGCACCATGACCATCACTGATCTATTGTGCTTCCCCTTTGATTAACCCATTATTAATCCTACACTTCGGATGACATGTAGGACCTTATTTATGGGGGCGTCATAATAGTCACTTGGTTCCAAGAAGTACTGGCCCAGGTGGCAAAATCTTAAAATAAGTTATGGCATCACAATCACGTAGAATATGTGTGGCTGATTCTTCCTCTTCTAGGCACCTTAAACAAGTGGGGTCACCTGTCAATCCCAGTTTTGAAAGTTTTCCTTTAAGGTGGCAGTGTTCTGTAAATAGTCCTATTACCCATCTTAATTGGTCTCTGTTTAGCTTCAACGGGCCCTTCGTTCTTCTGTCAGAGGACCCTGGTATAAATCCCTTTGCCTGTTTGAGTCCAGTTATGGCTTCCCAGTGTTTTTTTTTAAGGGGGGGGTGATTTCTATTCATCAAGTCACTGACCACTTTATTGGCAACTCCAATTGAGATGCCGCAAGCTGGTTCAGGTCCTGTGAACAGATGTTCAGATCCTGTTCTTGCCAGTTGATCTGCGGTTTCATTACCATCACCTGGCACACATATCAGTTGGACCAGTTTGGCCAGTTGTGTGAGGGATTGGTGGCAGCCCCAGACCTGTTTTGAGGTGATCTGATGTTTGCAAGTGCTTTAATTGCAGCTTGATTATCTGATAGAATATAGACGTTCCTATTTAGATTCTCAACTGTGCATGCCTTAATGGCAGCATACACTTTGTACTGCCCAGGTCTATAGCTAAGTAGTTTCTGCCTTGATCCTTGGCAATACACCCCTGCTCCAATGCCCCCACTTGTTTTTGAGGGAGGGGGGGTTGAAACCTCTTTTTCCATTCACTACTATCAGGGAATCTGATCATAAAGGCTTTATCATAGACATGTCTCAGTATCATTTTATCAGACCCCATCTGTGAGATGGCTTCTTTTCCATAACCTGAGTCATGTATGCATGTCCAAAACCCTCAGATTTGCATTTCCATGGTTTATTGCAACGTAGTGTGTAATTTCACAATAAACGGGAAGACCTTTACTGGTGAGCGGGGTTAACGCTCTCATTACATCATCATAGTATTTAAAAAATCACAACAGCTCTTTTTCACCATATATATCAAAAATGTTTCTCTGAGCATTAAATAATATCAGATTAATTTGAAGCTTAATCATCCATTCTAAGGGGTGATTTTGCTGATTAACATGGTAGTGTAGCTGGTTGAGGCACTATGCTACAAGCCGGAAGGTCATGGGTTCGAGTCCCGATGAGGTGGATTTTTTTTTTTTTTTTCCAGTTTACCTAATCCTTCCAGCTGCACTGTGGCCTTGGGTTCAACTCAGCCTCTAACAGAAATGAGTACCAAGAATCTTCCTGGGAGGTAAGGGACCCCCAGCCAATTGTCGCAGTGGAAGAGCCCACAGTCACCAAGAGCAAGAAACGCATGGCAAGTCCGGAGTTCAACAAAGAGCATACTTATTGCTTTTTTCAATGTGAAGGGGATTTTTCACCGTGAATTTATTCCTCCTGATTTTTTTTTTTGCTAGTGGGGTGGGACTGAGTCCCTTGTACTGCGGCCAATTTTGGCCTATTGTACCAGCCCCAGATGATAGGTGAGGGTGATTGTGGAGCAATTGGTGGAATGAAGATTGGCAGGGGAAACCAAAGTACTTGGAGAAAACCTGCCCTAGCGCCACTTTGTCCACCACTAATCCCATTTGACCAGACCCGGGATCGAACCCAGGCCGCTGTGGTGGGAAGCCAGCGACTAACCGCTTGAGCTATGGCATGGCCTTGTTCCTCCTAACTCAGTGGTCAACTCTGAATTTTACTGAGACTTTTTGAGACGCTTGAGAGAAAATATGCAACGAAAAGGACCAGAACTTTGGTGCAACCACAACTGGCTCCTTCATCAAGGCAACATGCCCACCCACACGTCCCTGAAAATCACAGAGTTTGTGAGTTACAATAACATGGTTATTACTCCCCATCCTCACTCTTCGCCAGACTTGGCCCCCTGTGATTCCCCCCTCCCCCCCCAATTGAAAATGAGACCGAAGGGATGACATTTTGAAACAGTGTCTGAGATGGAAAGGGAATCGCAAGCAGTGCTCGAGAGCATTAAGGAAAATGACTTTCATGGTGATTTTGAGGCATGAAAAAAATGATGGGATCACTGTACACATTCCCAAGGAGACTATTTTGAAGGAGATGGCAGCCAAAATTGAGTAAGTTAAGCCAGCATTTCTTTTTTGACATAGTCCGGGAATTTTCCAATAGAATGATGGAGCCATACCTCCACTCCATGTGTTCATGGTATGATGCTTAAATATTCAGCACAGGGACAGCTTTTATGATCTATTGAATTATTTAAGCATCACACCACAGACACATGGAGTGGAGGTATAGCTCTGTCATTCTTGACCTCAGCACTAGATGGAGATGAGTGGTGAGCTTCACACCTCAATGTATGTATACTGAAGTGAAATATATTTTATCACAGTATATAAGAATAAAAACCAGATGTTTACTCATGTGATCGAAAGAAACTAGGAATGAAGATTTGAAATGCAGTGCTTCAGCATCACCCTAACAGCTTGGTTATAGCAAGTGTCACGTAACTTTGAACAAGGCCAAGAATAACCTTGAATGCTCAGAAGAAAAATTTCAGACAAGAGGGTGGAGGGTGTGAGAAGCGACAGGTGGCCAGTGGAAGAACAAGTGGTAAGAAACTCCTCCCACCACAAGCTATGCGCGGGATTTGACTAGGAATGTGGGGCCTTGTTCTATATCATGGTCGCTGGCATTGTATACAATAAATTTTGCAATATCTTCAGGGGTTCTTTGTTCAGTCCTTAAGTTCCATTTTTATATACTATATTTTATGTACTTTTATTTGTTGTCATGTTAGAATTCACTGGTGTTCATTACATGCACGCGCACACACAATTTGTTTTAATATGTTGCAGGTGTCATTGTGGATTCCTCTGGTTTTCTTAGCAGTTTGCTTGTTCCTTGTGATAGTTCTATGCTATGCACGGCCATTTGAAGTTAGTATGGGAGTCATTATCACATTGACAGGTCTGCCTGCTTTCTGGGTTGGTGTTGTATGGAAGAGTAAACCACTTTGGTTTCAGAGTATGTTCTGTAAGTATTATTGTAGTTAATTGGTTATTTCCTTTCTACATGTAGCATAACTTGTTTCAGCTATATTAGCCTTATTGTTTTTTTCACTGTAATTGAACATAAAACACAAGGAAAAGGAATTAATATTGAAATGTCCAGCATTTGTTCAAAATTCATGGGTTTTCATGAGCATTAACCGTAATTAATTCTTGTTTAGGGGGTTAAAATCTTTGAATAGGTATGTGAAATAGGTGTGAAATATAGAAAAATGAAAAATACCAAAATGATGTGTTTGAACTCGTGACAGTTTGTTGTATAGATAAATTGCCATGATGTGATCTGTTTTGCAAATAAGTTGCACAGTTTATCGGAATAGTACGAAGATTTGTTATAATACACTTTGCCATAGTTGTTTAAATATTATATATGTAATCTTTCCGTACTGAAGAACACTTTAATCTAGATCAAGGGTCTCCAAACTACAGCCCGCGGGCCACATGCAGCCCACGATGTGATTTTATCCAGCCCGCGAAAGAATTCTGCAGAAATGCGCCAATTGAACTAATTTTCCAATGAGTACTGGTAAATGTGATTCCGAGCTTATTGACCTGACATATTATACTGCAGTTCAGTGGCTTAGCTGTGGAAAGGTTATTTCGCACATCTTGCAGCTCAGGAATGAAATTGATATACAGTAGAACTTGGTTATAGCAACATCGGTTTCTGCGACACCTCGTCTATTGCGTCAAATATTCAATGGTACGAACTAATTCCTCATAAAGCAACTGTTTTTATACCTTGCTTAGTACGACATGCACAAATGCATCAACCTCGTATGTAACGTCATTTTCATTCCTGAATTTCTCTGATAT